GGGCCCAGCGATATCTCTCTTGTTAAGGAGGTGACAAGTCCCATATTGCATGTCTACTATCTCCATATGATTCGTGAACGTATCTGATCAACGCCGTTATAATCATCCGGTTAAAGACGACGTTTGACGCAGTCAAGACACGTCACTCCTCATATCAGATACTCTAGACATCTCAGGTATGAGGATCCATAAACGAACCGCTGTATGAGATTCAAGTCATGACTCTGTCCATGTGACAATCTCATGCGGGTCATCCAGTCACTCGTTCACAACGAGTATCCATGATTGTGATCTACATCCAACGCGTTGATCACACCTCATGCTAGTCTTCATTCAACATTGTTCCCACAATGATGACTGACTAGGGAGTTTAGAATCATTCTCTAATGATTCAAGGATGCCGAAATACAACAAACATGCTAGGATAAATAATGCATTCATAAATCAATGAATCAATACAAAGTCAAATGTCATATCATGGATCATCCTAGAGCATTACAACCAACAATGTCATCATCATCCACACCATCACCATCTTCGTACTTCTCCTTCTAATTATTATTATTACTATGATCACTTATTTGTATTTGACTTTAGGATTCTAATTTTAAAACATATTTTACAAAGTCAAAATATATATATAGATTTTTTTCTATGAAAAATATTTACTCGTTATATTTGTGACCTAGATTATTGTGTATTAATTAATTATAGGTGAGGAAAATCTCGAGGTTATTGAACCCGGGATCGAGGATTAGATCGAATCTTTCAGAGTTCATCGTTTAGACCAAGGTGAGGGAACTCGACAGAACTCCTCTTTCTTCTATTCGCTTAGACATGATGATAGAGAACATAGATATCATGCGGTTAGGACTTTAGGATAGACGCCTTAAATTCCTTGCGGATTCATGATGTATGTTGATTGATGATTGATGATTGATGAAGGATGATTAATGATTGAGAATCGATGATTGATGAATAATGCATGATGATTGATGATTGATAAATTTCCGTTGAGTGATTATAGTTTATGACGCACATGTTATGTGATGATTTTTTTTAATAGATTATTAGATCGTTAGACTGAGTTGAACTTTTGATATTAAATAAACTTTGGCATGATGTTTGGAAATATGAGAGAATTAAAGAATTGAGTTAGAGACTAGGATGTGACCTCAGACTGTGCTAAAAATATTTTAAAAGTGAGTTTTGAGACCCTGGTACGGCGGCGATCTGTATGTGATGGTATGATAACAACCCGGGCATGGCAGCGATCCATGTGGAGTGATAACCCCGACTACGGCGGCGATCCGTAGAGGGTTATTGCTATTGGTTGAGTTTTGAGGTCATGGTACGGCGGCGATCCGTATGTGATGACATAACGACCCGGGCATGGCAGTGATCCATGTGGAGTGGTAACCCCGCTACGGCGGCGATAGAGGGTTATTACTATTGGTCGTGTTTTGGTAACCCCGACTACGGCGGCGATCCGTAGAGGGTTATAACGATATTTTT